TATATATATATATATATATATATATATAATTTCATGAAAGATTTTCTAAATTTTTATTTTTTATTATATTTTAAACATTTAATGTAAAACCAAAACCATTTTTATTTATTTTTCCCTATTTGTGAAAGAATTTATAATTTGAACTGTATAATATCTAAGCTTCAAATAACTAGTTATTTTTGGGGAAGCTTTCACTCTTGGCTTCAATGAGTTATGAAGTTGGTCCGCCATAATTCACATGCCATGAAGACTTCTACCACTTTGTGCTACTCATTCATATATGTTGGCCTTTTTACTCTAAATGCTTGTATATAGGTCGGTTCATTATCTAGTTTAGCTTTTGTTCCACTTAGCATTTCAACTTCTTCAAATGCTATAAAATAAGTGATATTTTGAAAGGGACCCATTTATCACTGAGCTAGACCCCCTTCACTTGTGAAGGAGATGGCTCCCTTATTACAATGCTAATTCATAACAAGTATAGTGCAGAGTTTTCCTTGCTCAAACTCCATCAAAATATGTATACAATGCTAGTTCATAACAAGTATAGTGCAGAGTTTTCCTTGCTCAAACTCCATCAAAATATGTATAGGGACTATCCGGCTGAGACCCAATTCAAAGAATAAAATTTTAAAAATGTTTCACAATCGTGTAATACATGGTGCAGTATGTATATGGGTGTCAATCTTAAATAATAAAAACAAACCGTACCCCTTAGGTTTAGTTTGTATATGGTATCAATTTTAAATATTAAAAAAAAAACCATACCCTCACACGTCCGAGTGCAGATCAAATAGATCTAAAAAAACATAAGAATTTTGAAAATGGATAGTCAGGATAATATGTAACAAGCTGCATTATTTTTAGGACTTGAATTATTTTTTTCATATCTATACATCTCAAGTTTGAGATGATCAATGTGAAGATTTTTTAGATTTGTGGTGTTTCATACCTTTTATTTTAATTAGACAACGTTGAATAAGTACGTCTTTTTAATAGATTATAAAAAAATATGATTGTTCTTAAGATTGTCAAATCTGCACCGTGCAATTAAAATGGACAATATATATTATTTCGATCTTACTTGAATCGTCCTAAGATTACCCCCTCATATAAATTTTTCCTTTTGTTCTTGGACTTATTTCATACCTAACTCGGGCTAGAAGGGGTAGGTTGTTTCTCATCCTTTCAATGATACTCTTAGATGAGTCGTTGCCCAGGGCAATAAGCGTATATTTTGATCCCGCTAGAGCAACATTCTTTACCAAGTGAGAAAACGAGTTTATGTGCAGCACGTTACAAACATCGACTCGGCCAAGGTATTCGGGTCTTGATTGTGGTAATTTTTTGGACGAGGATTATCTCAAACTCTATTTTTATATGTAATTATAAATTTTTAAATTCTAAAAATAGTTAAAATCAAGTAGATCTATAAACATATGTAAATTTAAAAAATGGATGGTGTGTTGTAAGATGCACTATTTTAAGATTCAAAATCCTTTTTCTTTCATAAACATTCTTGATATTGAGATGCTCAATTAGAAAGTTTTCAATATTAAAAATAATATTTTTCGATGGATTTTTGAAATGCATCCATAATTTTACATTTAAAATTTGCAACATTATATAAATTTTTTCGCTTATAAAATTTGACAGTACAAATAAAAATACACTCCCAAAATTATCTACAGCCAACTCGCCACAAACTTGTGCCATTGACGTAGGCAGGCCTACTCGGCCTCGATAACTAAGGCGAAGCCGAGTGGCCTTGGCCGAGTCTAGAAACCATGGCCAAACTCTACAATCCCATCAACTCTGACCACAATACCTGCATTTGTAAGAACCAAAGAAGTAAATATATGTTCAGACTTGGGACAATGTACTTTGGGGTCACCACTCTCAAGAAAGACCTGTGTTTTGGAGTTTGGATCTGTATTTTGGAAGAAAAGCAGTTAGTCCCCTTGGTTTTTGAAGTTCGCATCACCATTGCTATCCCCAAGGCCTAGGCTTTTAACTTTTTAAGAACCCTCTCTGCAACAAGAAGCTGCATTCAAACTCGTACATTTCCCAATGAATCCAACTCTCTCTCTCTCTAGAAACTGTCTATATATACCCACCACTATGAATCATAATTCTCATCTCTTAAAGTTGGGTATTTCTTCTCAGCTTGTTATAGAGAGAGAGAGCAGTTGTTTAGTGTAGCGAGAGAGGAGATGGGGGTTCCTGTAATAGACGTGATGAAGCTAAGAGGAGAGAATAGAGAACATCAGATGGCCTTACTTGGTGATGCATGTGAAAATTGGGGCTTCTTTCAGGTTAAGTATTCTCTCGCCTTTGAAAGATTGTTAGGCACTGTGTAAATGGTATGCTCGGCATGCCGGCTGTCTTTATATTGTCGATTCCATGCGGTATACTTTGGTTTGGCAATGGGGCTGGGTCGGGTCCTGGTGCTAGCACCACCATACCTCAATTGAACATTGTAGATTCCATTGTAATCGAGGCTTTTGACAAACCACCAACTATTTAAAAAATGAGTATTCCCCACTGAATTACCAAAAACAAAACTCTCTTCCTTTACAAGGAACTCTCTCTCTCTCTCTAAGCTTTAAACGATCTTAACCGTTGAAAAACCCACCTTAGATCTCAACCATTGGGCGTACCAAGGGTATACGCCAATGGGCATATACCCGTGTAAATATACATACTAAGTCGGAACTTTCTCTCTCAAGGGTGTCGTTTGTATAAGGTCGAGGCTCTAAACAATTCAAGAAATTTCTCTCTCTAGGGTATGGTTTGTATAAGGTCGAGGCTCTAAATAATTTAAGTAAGGTATATTTTTAAGTAGTATCAAAAGATGATTTTTCAATAGTAAACATCTTTGTGAGGGCTTAAAATTTTATTTTGATCTTTAATTATAAAATTTAAAGCTTCAACAAGAGTGCAGATTAAACGGATTTATAAACACATGAAAATATTGAAATTTGACGGCTCAGATAATGCAATTACAAGATGCACTATTTCCTAGATTTGAAATCCATTTGTTTCCTACATTTATGAATATCTATCGAAGTGGAACTTTGTTTCAAACTTTGCACCCAAATAATGACATATCTTCAACCCCCTATTTTAGAATTTAACAATCATGATGATTGTGACTTTTTTTTTTATAAATAATAATTGGTCTCATTGCATATATTTCCTATAAACTTTTTCCCTCTCTCTTTATATATATGGACACAACTTCCATGAGTTCTAATACTCATATATAGAAATAAGTCCCCTCTTAAAAATCCATTTTTGATATGTATTTTAGATCTAACTTTTAAAGAATATATAATCTTTAATGTGGAGATCATGAATATGTAAAAACCAAAAAAGGAAAAATTCGAAAATTGAAAAATGATAATTTACGAAGAAAATATTAAGATAATTGGTTTTAATTTTTTTTTAAAGGGACCACCAATTTGCATCCATCTTTGAGATGGATGTTTTATGCCTCGGGTATACCTAAAAATTCTAAAATCCGTCTCAAAAATAGATCATGTAAAGGGTACCATATCTACATAGGACTCAATGAGCCGCCGGCTTACCTATTTATATATGTCCTCTCTCTAAAATATTCTTAGATGGTTTTTGGATCTAAAAATTTATGGATTAAAAATAAACTTTTTTTTTTTCGTATCTTTAACACAGTTTATTTTATACTTTTGAACCCGAATATCATGACATGACTCGTTTTTTTCCCCTTGATATCATGAGATTTTATTCATTAAAAAAGGAGAAATGCTTAGAACATCACTTTTACATACCCACCAATTAAAACGTAATTTTAAGAAGAAATTTATAATTTTTTTCAGAAAAAAGCACTCTTCTGTCTTTTTTGGCAATTGCTTTGAAAGTATTATTTTCTAGTAATTTTTTTATGGGAAATGAACATATGTATAGCCCAAAAGATAAAATACTCCTTCAGGAGTGAACTATCCATTTACTCTCTCGGTTAAAAATCTAACAGCGATAGACTTTAGGACTCTAAATCTTGGGATATAACCACTTAAATCTTTTACATTAACCTCGATAAAAAAAATATTCCCAAATTATACCTGCTATGCACTTACAAAAATAATGTCTCAAGATTGAATAGGGACTTTCTAATTTTTAGATGGTAAAATAATGTCTCAAGATTGAATAGAAACTTTCTAATTTTTAGATGGTGAAATCCTAAGTGTTAGAAAATTCAAATTTCAAATTTTTTTTTTGAGAAAAATCATCTAGTGATTAAAAGGTTCCCAAAATTTCAAAATGAACAAAAATCTTCCCAAATAGATCCTCTCGAGAGGGAGTAAATATGAACTATGCTGGTGTGCATTTGAATTTGAGTTATATACCGTCCATCTTGATAAGTGAAAGATCTGAAAACTCATTGACACGGGTAGCTTCATCCCGTGGCTTTTTTCTCTCAACGGGCACCCCACTCACCATCATTTCTCCTCTAGAATCCAAACCCTGATTTAGTTGGGGTGCCAATGGACCCCGACCTGACCCAGGACTCGACCTGATCGGAATCTGTGTATCACTTAAAAAATTGGACCCAACGGATCGGGTCCGGGTAGTAATATTCGATCCAAATATTATTTGGGTCCATCCAGACCCAGACCAGACCTGACCCAACCTGTTGCTCGCCCTACTGATTTGCTTCAACCCATTTTCTCTCTCGGCCCATATGAATGGCGGAGAGCGAGAGAGAGAGAGAGGACAGTGAAAAACGACGGGAGAAAGTAGGATTTGAGAAAGCAAATTAGAAATAAAAAAATTGAGAAACTACTCATTTAGAGAACGCTACTTTTCCTTCTACTTCCTGTGATGATAATCTACGCAATAGTTTATTTAGCGGCACATGATTCTGAAATTGAGAAAAACAATGATTTCCTCCATTTCTTAAATAACCAAAAAATTAAGGTTTAAAACAATGGTTAAAAAAGGCCGCCCAATCTGGATCGGAAATCGGCAACACAAAATCAATTATCGTAAAATACCAGCACGGATACTGGAGGTTGCATTGAGGGAGTCGTTTCTTTTTTTAAGGCGTACGGAGAGGGAGAGAGAGAGGAAAAAGAAACGACGAAATGACTCTTATACGCTGTAGGACTGTGTATCTGAAGGGTATGGTTTGCATAGGGATGCAACCTTAGACTATATAAGGTGCACCTCCAAACTCTATTATAAGATGCAATTTTGGCGAAAGTTATTAAGATGCTCTGTAATTATAAAATTTTAAATTTCAAATGTGGTTCAAATCAAATCGATCTATAAGCACATGAAAATCTTGAAAATGGATAGTCCAAATAGTATGTTTTATTTTTGGGACTTGAAATCCATTTTCTTTTTCAATATCTATACATCTCAATGTCGAGATCATCAATTAGATGGTTTTCTAAAGTCAAAATAATGTTTTTAGAAAGATTTTTTATGCACACTTCAATTTTACAACATATGGTGTCAACTTCATATAAATTTTTTTTCATATCTGCACATGATCATTGCCTTTTTTTTTATTAGAAAACCTTTTATATAGAATATGAAATTCAAGAAACCTCTACAAACTATTTTTGTCCGGATATTACCCAAAAATAAAATTATCATGTGCCTAGGTTGTGGTGAACTGGGTGCACCTATAGTTGCCATTCCCACCCAAAACATTCAACTCTTTCCACACATTTGATGGATGAAACCAGGGTTCTAAAACTCTAACACTGAATCCCCGTCGGGGGACTTATTCGCGGTTAACCATATTCGATTCAGTAATTCTCAGCTCTGATTAGTTTACAAATACAACAAGAAAAGCCAAAAAAAGAGAGCCACGGGTTTGGCCTTCTTCACCCAGATCATCTGGGGATGCTGTTCAATATAGAAGAATTTTAAAAATTTATGTAATTAGCGTACAGAAAATCGACTCGCCCAAAGTACTTGGCCCAGTTGAGTAATTTGGTTGAGATAGGTATGCCCCCAATAAAGTGTAAAATATCTTAAAAATGGTAAAAAGCTCCCTAAAAAATGTTAAAAAAAGAAGAAAAAAAGTTAAAAGGATTAATAGAATTACTAGGAGACTAAATAAGATGAAGATGGATTATTTAAAAAGTGGATTTATGCCTTGAAATATTTCGAAAACGTTTTTTAAAAAAGAACAATATCATAGTTCCCATACGATATTAAAAACTAGCAAAGTCTTATCTCTAACTATTATGCTAGTTTTTTTTCTTGTTTTGTATATTTTTTTATTTTTTATACATTTTCTTAACTCATTAAGAGCTCCCCTCACTCAAAAGGCGATCAAGTTACTCAACTAAGTTCGAGTGGACCATCACTGTATGCAACGAATGGAAAATAATAGAGAAACTAAGAAGGGTGAGGTTTATATAAGGTGTCAACCTTAAACAATTACGGTAAGGTGCACCGCAAAAATCTCGTTAAAAGATGTATTTTTGATGACGAAACGACTTAAAGAGTCTATTCTTTACCTTTACTATGAAATTGAAAGAGGAATCCGTAATATACATGATGGGCGTTTTTGAGGTTACAGATAGTGAACCATGGCGTGGAGATAAAGGTGATGGATAGGCTCAAGGGGTTAATGAATGACCACTATGAGGAGTACATGAAGCCCCAATTCCAATTCCATGACTCGCACGTGCAAAATGAGTTAGAGAGGTCTCCTTCTTACGTGCGCAGCTTTGGGGACTGGGAGTGCAGCTTCTTTGTGAAACACATGCCAACCTCCAACTTAACCCTCCTTCCCCAAATATCTGATGATCTCAAGTGAGTAACAATTTCCCACTTGCCCCTCACTTCTCTTATTTTTTCAATTACCAAAATACCCTTGACTACACAACTGACCAAAATGCCCTCTACACAGGCAAGCCATCCATGAGTATGTTGAAGAGGTGAAGAAGGTGGCAGAGATGATGCTGGACCTGTTTTGTGAGAACTTAGGGCTAGAAAGAGGGTATCTGAAGAAGGTGTTTTTGGGGTCGGATGGCCTTCCGATGCTGGGCACGAAGCTTGCGAAGTATCCGGTCTGCCCTAGGCCCGACCTGGTTCGGGGTCTACGAGCCCACACTGATGCTGGGGGGATCATTTTCCTGCTTCAAGATGATCAAGTTCCGGGTCTTCAATTCGTCAAAGATGGGAAATGGGTGGATGTCCCTCCACTGGCTAACTCCCTGTTCATCAACATTGGTGACCAGTTGGAGGTAATTATACAAATGGAGAGAGAGAGAGAGAGAGTTTTCGGCATTTGATGTTGCAAAGCTAGCGATGCTACTCCCCAACAAAATAAAAGAAACAGAAAAAGATAAAGAGTAAATTTTTATTTCTTTGCGAGGTAGAAATCACCTGCTTTGCTAGGAATTTTCTCTGGATTATAGTGTAATCTCAAGTATGACAGGGAAAAACATAGTCTGGTTCATGATCATCTGAAATAAGGGTGGTGATGGAGAGGGAGGATGCCCTCAACTATATCATGACATGACCCAAATTGTGTGTCCTAATCTTCAACCATCACCATCTATCGTATCAACTAGCATCTGATGACCCCTGTGACATAAGTTTCCCATTATCCCTGGATTACATTACAAAATTAGATAAGGAAAAAGGGAATAGTTTATATAGAGCCGAGGCTATAAACAATCAAATTAGAGCCTACCTAAAAAATTTCACTAGAAGATGTTATTTTGATACCCAAATATTTTCAAATTGATCATCTCGACATCCAGTTGCATGGACATGAGAAAACAATGGATTTCAAGTTTTAAAAATGATGTATTTTGTTTCGCACTTTTGGATCGTCATAGATCAGTTGACCTACATTATTTTTGAAGCTTTAAACTTTACAAATAAAGATAAAAATATATTTCAAGATTATCACAAAGATTTTCAGTATTGAAAACACATTTCTCGACACTATTTGAAAATATGCTATAATTTGATGTTTTAAATCCTAGACTCTATACAATCCACACCAAAGGAAAAATAGTAGGAAGATTATTTCTTGTGGGCTGGCCGCATAGAAACAGTGTCCAAAATAGTGTGCTTTCTTTTTATATTCTAAAGAACTGTCAAAGGAGAGAGAAAGATCCATACGTACTTCTCAATTCCATAATTTCTAGATTATATTATAATATAGCAACCCCTAGAAAGTTTCCCTTTCCTTTTTTTTAATATGAGAGAGCGAGTGAGTGCGTGCATTTGATTGCAAATGTGTGATGTGGTATAATAGGGGACAAGCAGGGTTTGAAACATGGTTTTAAGAACTGGGGATACGTATTGGAACTGCATAAGTCAGATGAAGAATCAATTAATACGGACTCGGATCGGAACCGTCTAATTTGCATCAAGAATCGATGAAACCAATCCGTTCCTCTCGTCTATTGGAAATAGGCAGGTTCTATTACTATTAAAACATGCCGGTTCCTAACAGTCCCAATTCACTCATATATAATTTTTATTTCTTATACCTTCAAAAAGAATTTGAATTATTTTTTTTGGTCTAAGAAGGATGAACACCTTAACTTTCCCTTAACTCGTTCCATGCCCAAGTAATGGGGCTGGGTTGTGTTAGGGAGGCAGCGAACCTGCAGTATCTGCTTATGCTAGGGTGTTCCTGAGAAACGGCGCGTTGTACCGGTCTTCAATGGAGTAGAATGACAGACCATGATTCGTATAGCAGACCTCAATAAATTGCAAAAAAACTATGATGATGATGATGATGATTATGATACTTTCAATTTTTTTTTTTTTATAAAATATGAAAATGGAAATAAATAATTAATTCAATAAATTAATTTTCAAAAAAAAGAAAGAAGAGAGACATGAGTAGCTCAGACCCCTTATTTTTACAAGTTGTTCGCCTCCCAAGGGCAGGATCTTACGCTTTAATCACCCTTCCACTACTGGAAATACCACTTCCTGTCTGACTTGCATGTGTTAAGCATGCTGCTAATGTTCAACCTGAGACAGGATCGAACTCTCCATGAGATTCATAGTTGCATTACTTATAGCTTCCTTTTTCGTAGACAAAGCTGATTTGGAATTGTCTTTCATCCCAATGCATAACTTGTATTTGTGTGCTTTAGCGCAAGTAGCATTATAGATTATAACAATACAAAAATAAAAAAAAATTGAGTTGGAGATTTATTTGATTGTCATGAGTTACACTTTAAATTTCATTTTAACTATAAAATGAATATAATGGACAACAAACACTCTGACATAAGATATGTTATTAGTATTTATGTATTTTATATAAAATAACAAAACCATAATGCAAATACCACATTTTTTTGGCAAAAATAAGAAAAACTAGATTTTAAAAAATTTATCACATTTTTTGGAAAAAAAGAAAAACTAGATTTAAAAAAAAAATTAATGAGATTTTGAAATTTTTTTCAAGGCTAGATTCAACCGATTCTATCTCGGCATATTTTTTGGATGGGCGATCCGAGTCACCAATCCAATTTTTTGAACATTAGTTTGAAAGAATACTGATATTGATTGGAGTGGGTAGGTGGGAAATTCTGCTATTAAGAGCCCAAGAATTGCTTGATATCCATTCGTTTTTATTTATTATAAATTTTTAACTTCTTTAGCAATCAACCTTGTTCTTAATTTAATCAATCAACCTTGCAAAATCGGCTAATCTGGATTGTCACTGACAGCAGGTGATTTGCTGGGCTGTCTGAACCATTTTCTTGAACACTGTGTAGGTGATAACAAATGGGAGATACAAGAGCATGTTACACAGGGTGTTGGCAAGGGAAGATGGCAGCAGGCTGTCTATCGTCACCTTCTACAACCCCGCAGATGATGCAGAGATAGGCCCCGCCCCCGAGCTCACCTACCCGTCCAGGTTCAGGTTCGGGGAATACATGAACATCTACGCCTCCACCAAGTTCTCAGACAAGCAACCCAGATTTGAAGCTATGAAAAAGCATGCAGTAGATACTCCACTTCTTGTCTAGGGTTTGAGGGCATTGTGCTTCAATTAAGTTCTGGTTTTTCTTTCTTTCTTTTTGTACTGGTTTGCAAATCAGCATTTTGTTCTGGTGGGATTGCGATAAAGACTGCATGTACTTGGGTTAGCCGGATATTATTTCAGTTTGACACTTGTGTCCCTCGTGCATACAATAAATATGTAGGCAAATTAAAATTTCAAGGTCATATACTTTACAACATCATTAGGGTGTCAAAACATCTTGATGTCACTAAATTGGAGAGTTTAATTTTAATTTGTTCTTGATTGAATACCTCTTAAAACAATATTCTTGCCTCGAACGGCTAGGAAGGGGTTAGACCTAGGTTGACTCGGCCCAACTCACTCCAGGGCCTGAGCTAGGTATCTTGCTTCCGCTTGGCTTAGTCTTGATCTGATTCGGGCAAGGGTGCACATAGTCCTTGCCCTAGGCCTGGCCCATCCCTTAGGCCAAATGTTGTGGCCTTGGCCTCGAATTTTTAAGGTCAAGTACATTTGGAAAGGTTCAACTGTTAGGTCCATTGCCAATCCCAACCTTGATTGCCCCTGTTTAGGGTTGGAAACCTGAATAAGTAGGGGTCTTTTAGTAATATGATTTACTTAAGAGGTTCCAACTAAAAGACATAAATATCCTTGCTCAGGGTGGGTCAAATCACTAAAATACATGCTTATTCAAAGTTCCCAACCCCTTTTTAGGGAAAATTATAAAAAACTTTCTATTTGTCTTTTGAGGTATCGTCCCATAATAATTTTGATACCACGCTATTAACCCCAACAATATTTTTCTTTGCAACCATCTCCTAAGTAATTAAGTGATTTTTTTGGACAAAGATACCCCAAATTTAACTTATGATTCCAAAATACAACACCCAACAGATGTCGGGCTGACACAAAATGTGTTGGATCAGTACAACTTGAATACAGAGCCGGTCTGACACAAAAACATGTGCCGGAGTGGCTCGATATAGTTGTGTCAGTATGTGCCAAACTAGCTTGAAGAGAAAAAGTAGAAAATGTGTCCTAAAACGAGGGTATTTTGGTCTAAACAAATCTGACCTTTTTTGCTTTGGGGGATGGTAGAAAATATAAAAGGTTTTGGGGTTGGGAATGTGATTTACAAGTATTAGGCATTAGTATACCTAGAAAGTAGAGTAAAGGGGGGGCTATATATAATTTTTGTGGAGATAGCTTGGTAAAATAAAACTTGAAAGAATAAATAATCTAATGTTAATTGTCATATTTTGGACCCTTTGTGGAGGTTTCAATCCCTTATTTATTTCCCCTAAGCATGGTGTAATCCCCTATGAACAATATCATTCTAATTATGTAATTTGAGATATAAAATACACAACATGGGCCAATGAATGGTATGCTTAGCCAAAATATTGCTCCCTTACTATAACAACAATAATACAAGGTGTAGACACCCGAATCTCGACTGGAAAGGTTATTGATAAGTTGAAATATCTCAAGAAAACTACCTTGGTAGTTTAAACCATTCACCCACCAGTACCCATTTTTTGTAAACCTAGCCTCTACCAAAACCCTTATTGCTCAAATGGGAACAAGGGCGTTAAGAGGCTGAACCAGGTGAGGAAGACCCATATCGGCCTGACTATGAAGCATTCAAGAGGCAAGGCTCTGATGTTACCTCAACGGGTATCAAAGCCCTACCAAAACTCCGACAACAAGATACCAAAATAACTTGGGTCACAGTTTGGGCGACCTAGGACACCAGAGGCCTAGCACCATTCCCCTTGGCACCAGTGTCATTCCCATTGGTGCCAGTGCCATTCCCATTGGCGTCAGCACCATTCTCATTGGCGCCAAGTGTCGGGCCCCCATCTTCAAGCTCCAATAATGTCCCACCCCAAGAATTTACAATACTGATATTCCTGAGATGTGACAGTCAAAACATATATACATCTCTTGATAGGGCAAATTTACAGTGGCGAATTCTTACAAAGTAACAAAAGAAAGCTTAGGCACAACTACAATATTTTTCAAGGTTGATCTTGACGAGTACTTAAAATAAAACGGCAGTTATTCTGAAAAATATTTATCATAGTTTGATGAGTTTGGCTACTTAGTAAGTGATCATCATAATCTTAAAAAATAATCATCGATGAAAGGTATAAACAAACTTTCAAAATGGAGGTCAATTAAAAACAATGTGAGCACAAGCATTTTCAGAAATGCACAATTAAACTTAATCCGAATGATTGAAATGCATATAACATTTTAACGGCAGTGCATAATTCAAAAGATTCCACAAAATTACCCCATTGGCGTCCCAAGTAGGTCACCTATATATCCCCAATCAGCGTCCTAATGGGTCTACTTAATCCCTATCGGCGTCCCAGATAGGTCCACTTAATCCTTGCAGGTCCACTTATACCTCACCGACATACCAGATGAGTCCACTTAATCCCTACCGGCGTCCCGGATAGGTCCACTTATACCTCACCAGCGAACCGGATGAGTCCACTTGCATACTTAAAGTATTTCTAAATCTCTTTAAACATTCGAAAGCAGCAATATCATGTACTCAACATATCGCTGAAATCATTAATATGAATTTCACTGAAACCATTAATAACAGTCACTTTCAATAACATTTCAAAAATACCCAGTCAAATATTTTTGGCTCAAATTTAGAAAGGTAGCAGTTCGTAAAGACATTCTAGCATAATTGCCAATGTAATATGTATAGAAAAACTCTTATAGAAATTCAAGAATACGAAATTATCACAATTTATGGGATGTTAATTTGCAAATAAACATTTCACAACAATGCTATAATCAACTACAAAAATATCAATTTTCAAATAATAAGGCAGTTATTTGCATATGAAATTTACAATGTCTAAATATTCAAAAACAGTAGAAAGAAATCTCACAATTTTACTAACAACAGAAATATCACATTTATTTCTAATAATTTTACAGTATCTAAAATTTTCTAACAATAGACAAGAAAAATAAATAAATTTATTTATAAGAATTTACAACATTTAAAATTTCTAACATAGATAAAATATCACAATTTTATTCAAAAGATTATTTTTCAAAATAATGAGTTCGCGTGCGCATAAAATTTATCGCGCCTAAAATTCATGATAATAAGCAGAAATAATTATTTCATTCTATTTTTAAAAAGAACGGATTATTTTTCGAGACAATGAAGTCACTTACATACAAAACTTATAAAATAAAGATCCTGGACGAAAATATCACTATTTATTAAAAACAGACTATATTTCAGGAAGATGATGTCACTTACACAAAATATTTGAGGGGGAGCTTCCGATAAAAATTCGGCTAGAGATAGCAGTTCACTGTGTTTCGACCAGAGAGAGAAAGATCTCAAAAATTTTCTAGGGTAGGAGTCCTCACCTCTCCGAATTTAAATTCTAATAACATATTATTTTATTCTTTCATTATGTTACAGGTGTGAGTTACGCTTTAAACGCTTAAAGCCCAAGTCCTTTAGTGAACGTGGCAAGAGCAAGGAAGCAAAAAAGCTTTTAAACCAAAAGCTTTTGAAAGTAGCGATGGTCCCTAAGGACCACCATGTTCAAACGAATCATCATGTATTAAAAGTTTCGACTCTTCTTCTTCTTCTTCTTCTTCATTTTTTTTTGAAATTTCAGGATTTTTACAAATAAGATCCACCTTCAAGACCAAAACAAGATCAAGATGCCTAGCGGTAGAGCCATTGCCGCCAGTGCCATGGCCCGAGCCCTTCAACAGCCAGGACAGAGCTTGGTCAAAGTTCCGTATCCGCCGCCTTGTCAAACTTGTACTAACATGTCAGTTGTCAGTACGGAGTGAGTTTGTCGATTTTCTATTGGATGATGGTTAAAAGCTAGTACAACCAAGATGGTTGGACAACTAGTATCTGGCGACCTTCAGAATGTCACCAGCACTAGTCGGAATATCTTCAAATTGCGATCGACAAAATCAGAGCAATCAGAGCACGCCACGTGTCCTGAACAGTGCTGGGCGCCATTGCCAATGATATTAGAATCAGACAGGTCGTACACGTCCTGTATTAATGAGCATTTAATTTCTACTGATCGTCATTATTATAACATTAATGAGATGATGCCATTTTAATCAGCGTCGGTGCCATTCTAAAAGACGCCAAAGCTCTGATACAAGCTGTCATGGGCACATTTCGCTTATAAAAAGCCCCTTTTGCCTCAATAAGAAGGTGAGAGAAATGAGCTTGAGCATCTATATCTAAAAATTTCTTGATCTAAAACCCAAGCTTGAGCTTGAGAGAATATCACCTTTGAGCAACCCCCATCCTACCCAACCCTTCAATCTAAAGCTACAAACACAACTCCTTCAAGCTACACTCAAAATGAAGCCGCTTCGAATAATCAGACCTTCCGGACCCCCTTATTCCTATTTCGACTTGCCCTGTTAAGAACTGAAAAAGTTCGAGTTGATTATGCAAATTTAGTATCTGAATCGGCGCCGACTCTAGGCGTCAGGCCTAGGGACCAGCCTATATACCTTTTCCCCTCTTTCCTCTTTTTTCTTTTTACTTGTTTTCCTAAGATTTATTTTCATTTATCATTTATCTTTATGAGTTCTTTCATTTTCTTCTTTATCTCTTGAATGTAGCTTACTTTTTCTCCTTCTTTACATTTATTTCCTTCATTTAGACTTGTTGGTTTTTCTTTATTTTCTCATATTTTTGATCTCTTATGTTTCTTCACTTAAGGTAGCATTTATGATACTAGGTTAGTTTTATTTATTCTTATACCTCCCTTTTGTTTCTTCAATCATAATATTTTTCCCTTTAAGAGGATGTGCATTCATTTCTCGTGATTGGGTGTTTATTACTCTTCTTTGTTTCTTTCATTTAATGATGTATATCATTCTCCCCCTTTATTCTTTTTCCTTTATTAAATTGTGATCGTCTTTCCTCTTATAGCAAATGGTCCTCTTGGTTTGGTTATATTTATCCTTTTTTTTGGTTCCTCTTTCTTTGAAAGCATAGATGCTCTCTCCTTACCTTGACCCTCGTTCTTCTTGTTTGGTGATAGTTTTTTTTTTACTTTTTTAGTTATTTCCTTGATTGGTTGTGTTTTTCTTTCTTTTTCCTCTCTTAT